GAAGGCTGGAGGTCAGACATATATTGGCAAAAGTATTGGCCCCGCCCTCCCAGTCATGTGATTCAGGTGTTCCAATCCCCTCCCAATCATGTGATTCAGGTGTTCCCATCCCCTCCATATCATGTGATTCCGGTGTTCCAATCCCCTCAAGATCATGTGATTCAGGTGTTCCAATCCCCTCCATGGACACAGGTGTATACAATCAAGCCCCTAGGCATGCAGACGGCTTCTACAGACATTGGTGAAAGAATGGGTCGCTCTCAGGAGCTCAGTGACTCCAAGCGTGGTCCCGTGATAGGTGGCCACCTGGGCAATAAGTCCATCCGTGACATTTCCTGGCTACTAAATATTCCACCAACTGTTAGTGGGATTATAACAAAGTGGAAGAAACTGAGAACAACAGCCACTCAGCCACCAAGTGGTAGGCCACGTCACATGACAGGGCGGGGTCAGCGCATGCTGAAGCGCACAGTGCGCAGAAGTCGCCAACTGTCTGCAGAGTCAATAGCTAAAGACCTCCAAACTTGGTGTGGCCTTCAGATGAGCCCAACAACAGTGCGTAGAGAGCTTCATGGAATGGGTTTCCATGGCCGAGCAGCTGCATCCAAGCCTTCCATCACCAAGTGCAATGCAAAGCGTCGGATGCCGTGGTGTAAAGCCTGCCACCACTGGACTCTAGAGCTATGGAGGTGTGTTCTCTGAAGTGACCAATCATGCTTCTCTGTCTGGCAATCCAATGGACATGTCTGGGTTTGGTGGTGGCCAGGAGAATGTACTTCCCTGACTGCATTGTGCCAAGTGTAAAGTTTGGTGGAGGGGGATTATGGTGTGGGGTTGTTTTTCAGGGGTTGGGCTTGGCCCCCTAGTTCCAGTGAAGGGAACTCTTAAGGTGTTATTTTGGACAATTTCATGCTCCCAACTTTGTGGGAAGAGTTTGGGGATGGCCCCTTCCTGTTCCAACATGACTGCCCACCAGTGCACAAAGCAAGGTCCATAAAGACATGGAGGAGCCAGTTTGGGGTGGAGGAACTTGACTGTCCTGCACAGAGTCCTGACCTCAACCCCATAGAACACCTTTGGGATGAATTAGAGCGGAGACTGCGAGCCAGGCCTCCTCCCCCGACATCAGTGCCTGACCTGACAAATGTGCTTCTGGAAGAATGGTCCAACCTTCCCATAGACACCCTCCTAAACCTTGTGGACGGCCTTCCCAGAAGAGTTGAAGCTGTTATAGCCGCAAAGGGCGGGGCCAACTCAATATTGAACCCTACGGACTAAGACTGGGGGCCATTAAAGGTCATGTGTGTGGAAAGGGCGGGGCCAACTCAATATTGAACCCTACGGACTAAGACTGGGGGCCATTAAAGGTCATGTGTGTGGAAAGGGCGGGGCCAACTCAATATTGAACCCTACGGACTAAGACTGGGGGCCATTAAAGGTCATGTGTGTGGAAAGGGCGGGGCCAACTCAATATTGAACCCTACGGGCTAAGACTGGGGGGTCCATTACAGGTCATGTGTGTGGAAAGGGCGGGGCCAACTCAATATTGAACCCTACGGGCTAAGACTGGGGGGGCCATTACAGGTCATGTGTGTGGAAAGGTCGGCGACCCAACACTTGGGGCAATATAGTGTATATATTTCACCACAATCTGACAATGATCCTAATTACAAGACATTAACGTGTTATAAATGTAGTTGTCGGCAAATAGTTAAATTGCTCAGAGCCGAGATATTCATCCCGGATTTTCATCCGAAGACCCAAATAAAAAAAAAGAGAATATTCATTAATTACAAAGACAAATAACAGCCGTATAATAACAGAACGCACAGAACATCAGATACGTCGGTTTCCATTGAAGTGCAGATCGTCATGTTCTCTCATTTGTAAAGAAGAAAAAGGGAAAAGCCAACATATGATTGATAAAAGGATAATTATACTTCATCGGAGAACGGCTTCCTGAGTATCATTTATATTCCGTATAGACAAGATCTATGTCAGACGAACTCCAGGCAGATATAAAAGGCATCGGATGAATGCAGCTCTGCGTTTATAATACATCAGGAATTCATTTCTTTATGGAAGCCGTGTGTTTGGTATCGGCCTTGTGCAGTCCCTGTACAGCAGAGCTCAGACCTTGCCTGTCTAATACCCTCCCCCGCTCTGCACATGCTCTTTTCCCCTATACTGCCCTGTGATGTCAGTGGATTACATCATCACTGATTCAGAGAGTTCGCGTTTCAACCAAATGGAATCCACAGCCAAACGCTGGTCTACCCTAGGTTACACCGAAGCATTTTCCTACAGTCCATTTAACATGATTGCCTATGGGACACGTTCACATCTGCGCGTTTTCACCCAGTGCTTTTTTCTGAAAGGGTCAGAGACTTCTTTTTAAATGTGAAGGCTCCAGGGGTGGGGGGTTGATAACGCTGGTAACGTTAGCTGTGTAAAGTCACATAAAAAGCTTGACTTTTTCAGCTTTTTTGCATTAGCTTTTGGCGGCATTTTGCCGCATTTACCAGCATTTACCAGCAGTTGCGGTTTTTCACTTTTTTTACCAGGGAGAGCAGATATAGTGAATGCGGGGTCCAGGGAGAGCGGATACAGTGAATGCGGGGTCCGGGGAGAGCGGATATAGTGAATGCGGGGTCCGGGGAGAGCGGATATAGTGAATGCGGGGTCCGGGGAGAGCGGATATAGTGAATGCGGGGTCCGGGGAGAGCGGATCTAGTGAATGCGGGGTCCGGGGAGAGCGGATCTAGTGAATGCGGGGTCCGGGGAGAGCGGATATAGTGAATGCGGGGTCCGGGGAGAGCGGATATAGTGAATGCGGGGTCCGGGGAGAGCGGATATAGTGAATACGGGGTCCGGGGAGAGCGGATATAGTGAATGCGGGGTCCGGGGAGAGCGGATATAGTGAATGTGGGGTCCGGGGAGAGCGGATATAGTGAATGCGGGGTCCGGGGAGAGCGGATATAGTGAATGCGGGGTCCGGGGAGAGCGGATATAGTGAATGCGGGGTCCGGGGAGAGCGGATATAGTGAATGCGGGGTCCGGGGAGAGCGGATAGAGCGGGGTCCGGGGATAGCGGATACAGTGAATGCGGGGTCCGGGGAGAGCGGATATAGTGAATGCGGGGTCCGGGGAGAGCGGGTCCGGGGAGAGCGGATAGTGAATGCGGGGTCCGGGGAGAGCGGATATAGTGAATGCGGGGTCCGGGGAGAGCGGATATAGTGAATGCGGGGTCCGGGAGAGCGGATACAGCGGGGTCCGGGATATACAGTGAATGCGGGGTCCGGGAGAGAGTGAATGCGGGGTCGGGGATATAGTGAATGCGGGGTCCGGGGAGAGCGGATATAGTGAATGCGGGGTCCGGGGAGAGCGGATATAGTGAATGCGGGGTCCGGGGAGAGCGGATATAGTGAATGCGGGGTCCGGGGAGAGCGGATATAGTGAATGCGGGGTCCGGGGAGAGCGGATACAGTGAATGCGGGGTCCGGGGAGAGCGGATACAGTGAATGCGGGGTCCGGGGAGAGCGGATATAGTGAATGCGGGGTCCGGGGAGAGCGGATATAGTGAATGCGGGGTCCGGGGAGAGCGGATATAGTGAATGCGGGGTCTGGGGAGAGCGGATATAGTGAATGCGGGGTACGGGGAGAGCGGATATAGTGAATGCGGGGTCCGGGGAGAGCGGATATAGTGAATGCGGGGTCCGGGGAGAGCGGATATAGTGAATGCGGGGTCCGGGGAGAGTGGATACAGTGAATGCGGGGTCCGGGGAGAGCGGATATACAGTGAATGCGGGGTCCGGGAGAGCGAATGTGAATGCGGGGTCCGGGGAGAGCGGATATAGTGAATGCGGGGGGTGAATCCGGGGAGAGCGGATATAGTGAATGTAGGGGTCCGGGGAGAGCGGATATAGTGAAGGGGGGAGGCTAAATACTGGAACCAATCAGCCAGCTTTCAGCTGCTGCAGAGAGAACCGGAGCCAGAACATTGCACTCACAATCCATTCATCATAGTTACATAGTTACATAGTTAGTCTGGCTGAAAAAAGATGAAAGTCCATCCAGTTCAACCATTAAAAAAAAGTTATAATCCTACACCCACAGTTGATCCAGAGGAAGGCAAAAAAACCCAGCAAAGCACGATCCAATTTGCTCCTGCAGGGGAAACATTCCTTCCTGATCCCCCGAGAGGCAATCGGATATTCCTGGATCAATAATCGGATATTCCCTGGATCACCTTTCCCTATAAATGTTATATCCAGTTATATTCTGTGTATCCAAGAAAGGATCCAGGACTTCCTACAGCAATCCACTGAGCTGGCCACAACCAATCTGGAGGGAGTCTATTCCACATTCTCACCCCACTGTGAAGAAACCTTTCCGATTTGGAGCACTAATTTCTTTTCCTCCAGAAGTAAAGAGCCCCCCCCTACCAATGATGGGGCACAATTCCTCCTAATGATGGGCAAAATTCCTCCTATGAGACCAATGTTGGGGTACAATTCCTCCCAATGACACCAATGATGGGTCACAATTCCTACCAATGACACCAATGATGGGGCACTATTCCTCCACTGACATTAATGATGGGGCACTATTCCTCCCACTGACACCAATGATGGGGCACTATTCCCCCCACTGACACCAATGATGGGGCACTATTCCTCCCACTGACACCAATGATGGGGCACTATTCCTCCCACTGATACCAATGATGGGGCACTATTCCTCCCACTGACACCAAAGATGGGACACTATTCCTCCCACTGACACCAAAGATGGGGCACTATTCCTCCCACTGACACCAATGATGGGGCACTATTCCTCCCACTGACACCGATGATGGGGCACTATTCCTCCCACTGACACCAATGATGGGGCACTATTCCACCCACTGATACCACTAATGACACCAATGGGGGCACTATTCCTACCACTGACACCAATGATGGGGCACTATTCCTCCCACTGACACCAATGATGGGGCACTATTCCTCCCACTGACACCAATGATGGGGCACTATTCCTCCCCAATGACACCAATGATGGGGCACTATTCCTCCCACTGACACCAATGATGGGACACTATTCCTACCAATGACACCAATGATGGGGCATATTCCTCCCAATGACACCAACAATGTGGCCCCATTACTCCAATGATGGTGCAAAATTCCTGCCAAAGACACCAAGTATAGGGCACAATTTGTCTCACTGACATCAAACATGGGTCATTGTTTACTCCGAATGATGAGGGACGTTTTCTACTCCCGATGGCCACAGTCCGGCCCCCCTAAAGTCTGAAGGACGGTAAACTGACCCTTTTTTTTTAAGAAAGTTCAACCATTAAAAAAAGAAAAAGTTATAATCCTCCACCCACAGTTGATCCAGAGGAAGGCAAAAAAAACCCAGCAAAGCACGATCCAATTTGCTCCTGCAGGGGAAACAATTCCTTCCTGATCCCCCGAGAGGATATTCCCGGGATCAATAATCGGATATTCCCTGGATCACCTTTCCCTATAAATGTTATATCCAGTTATATTCTGTGTATCCAAGAAAGAATCCAGGACTTTCCGACAGCAATCCACTGAGCTGGCCACACCCAACTCTGAGGGAGTCTATTCCACATTCTCACAGCTCTCACTGTGAAGAAACCTTTCCATGAATGGTTGCAATACATTCCAGGCTCCAATGTACAAAAACAATTTTCTTTTGTCATGATATGGTGGATGTATCAATATACTGAAAATTTTAACATGAAATGGTCTCTGCAGTTTGTCCGTTGGAGAGGCGGCGCTGTACGCCATCCATAGAACGATCGCTGAGCGTTCCCCACTCTGTACAATTTTGGATCTCGGTCATACACACAGCCGTATAAAACGTCGTCATTCCGAGATCTACCTAAAGCCTTCTTCCCCGGCTCGGCTCACACAGCAGTTTTGCAGGTTGTCAGTCCGCGGATCAGCGATCAGACGCGGTGGCCGTGAAATGCGCACTCTGCAAATCTCATCGTTCTCTCGCCGTTGACCTGGGAGGTTAAGCCTGAAAAGTGACAGAGCACCGGAATACGGCGAAGTAGGATATTCCAAAACCAGGCTGATGGAGCGAGGAAAGGGCAAAGTCGCATTAGAGGGAACCTGCAGAATTTTCCTGGATGTGTTTGCCGCGTGTGCGCAGAGCGTGCGCAGGGAGGGCCGTATATTTCTCGCAATGACATTCTCATTAAAGTCAATGGTGTCTGTGGGGTTATAAATCAGCAGAAAGCGTTACTAGGAGGCCGCGTAGGACCGCAGGATGGTTGGAGACGTTCTACGGCGCGCTAACGGGACTTCTCAGCCAAGGCGGTGCAAAGAGCGAAGATAGGTGCAACGCGCGCTCATGAATGGCACCCAACCGGATATCAGCTCACTGGAGACAGATGAGTCAGTCGCTGTGGACTGCTGGGGGGGGGGGTCACTGAACGTGGCATTGATGGTGAAAATCTGACTGATCCTGCCAAAAATGGTCTTTTATTGAAGGATGGTGATGATAGGACGCCATTTATTATCACAGAGTTCATTTCCTTTTTAAATCATAACAGAAATCCCCCAAATGGCACGCATCAGAAGTCTCCGCCCCTGGATCAGAAGTCTCCGCCCCTGGATCAGAAGTCTCTGCCCCTGGATCAGAAGTCTCTGCCCCCTGATCAGAAGTATCCCTCCCTGATCAGAAATCTCCACCCCCCCAGATCAGAAGTCTCCACCACTGGATCAGAAGTCTCCGCCCCTGGATCAGAAGTCTCCGCCCCTGGATCAGAAGTCTCCGCCCCTGGATCAGAAGTCTCCGCCCCTGGATCAGAAGTCTCCGCCCCTGGATCAGAAGTCTCCGCCCCTGATCAGAAATCTCCACCCCCCAGATCAGAAGTCTCCGCCCCTGGATCAGAAGTCTCCGTTCCCTGATCAGAAGTCTCCGCCCCTGGATCAGAAGTCTCCCGCCCCTGATCAGAAATCTCCACCCCCCCAGATTAGAAGTCACCACCACTGGATCAGAAGTCTCCACCACTGGATCAGAAGTCTCCGCCCCCCGGATCAGAAGTCTCCGCCCCCGGATCAGAAGTCTCCGCCCCCGGATCAGAAGTCTCCACCACTGGATCAGAAGTCTCCACCACTGGATCAGAAGTCTCCGCCCCCAGATCAGAAGTCTCCACCCCCAGATCAGAAGTCTCCGCCCCCAGATCAGAAGTCTCCGCCCCCCGGATCAGAAGTCTCCGCCCCCCCCCCCCGCATCAGAAGTTTCCGCCCCTGCATCAGAAGTCTCCACCCCTGGATCAGACGTCTCCACCCCTGCATCAAAAGTCCCCACCCTGCATCCTCCACCCCCGGATCAGAAGTCTCCACCCCCGGATCAGAAGTCTCCACCCCCCTGAATGTTTGGCCTTCCCACATGGAAGAAAAATATATTTGAAATATATTTTAAAAATATTCTTCCCAAACATATGGACACATATTTGAAACGCAACAATTTTGGATATATTCAATATATTTCAAAATATATTTCAATAAAAAAAAATATATATATATATATATATATACACTAAATATTTTAAAAATATATATTTTTGTAAGCATATTCTTCTAATTTGTTTTTATAAAAAAGAAATTTTAACATATATTTTTACATATATCTGTAAATGCGTTCCAAAAATGTAGATTTGTATTTTTAAAGACATACAGTATATTTGAAATGTATTTTTAAAAATATTTTTCATATATTTTGTAATAAAAAAGCATTTCAACATTCAGTATATATATATATATATATATATATATATATATATATAGAAATATATTGAATACAGCCAAAATTGTAGCATTTCAAATATGTCAATATAGTTGAGAGAGATATTTTAAAAATATATTTTTCAAATATATTTTTCTTCCATATGGGTTGGTACAAACAAACACAGGTTACCATGGCAATTAAAAGGTTAAATTCCCACATCTGTGGCTTTGTAAATTGCAATTAGAGTCTGTGCATAAATAGTCGAGGTTGTTAGCTCTTACGTGGATGCACTGAGCAGGCGAGATCCTGAGCCATGGGGAGCAGAAAAGAACTGCCAAAAGACCTGCGTAACAAGGTAATGGCCCCCCCCCCCCCCCCCCCCCCCAAAAAATGCCAACCTAGGCAAATGCCTTGTTTTCCTTGTGGTAAATACACACCTGACCATAAGCGCTATGTTTGGAAAGGGGTCAACAACGACGAGAATACCATCCCCACTGTGAAGCATGGTAGAGGAAAACCCCCACAGGTAACCTCAGGAGAAATACAGGCTGCTCTAGAAAAAGGCATTGTGGTTGTTTCAAGTAGCACAATGCGACGATACTTGAACAAAAATGAGCTGCATGGTCAAGTTGCCAGAAATAAGTTTTTACTGCGTCAATGCCACAAAAAAGCCTGGTTACAATATGCCCGACAACACCTTGACACACCTCACAGCTTCTGGCACACTGTAATCTGGAGTGACAACACCAAAAGGGAGCTTCATGATCACAACCAAAAGCGCTATTTTTGGAGAGGGGTCAACAAGGCTTATAGCAACAAGAATACCATCACCACTGTGAAGCATGGTGGTGGCTCACTGATGTCTTGTTGGTGTTTGAGCTCTAAAGACACCATGAAAATTGATGGCAGCACGTATCAGAGCATGCTAGCAGACCATTTGCATTCTTCTGCACGAAAGCTGCGCATGGGATGCTCTTGGACTTTCAGGCACGACAATTACTCTCAGCACAAGGCCAAGCTGACCCTCCAGTGGTTCCAGCAGAAAAAGGTGAAGGTTCTGGAGTGGCCATCACAGTCTCCTGACCATCATATCATCGAGCCGCTGTGCGGAAATCTCAAACATGCCTTTTATGCAACACTTTGCATGACCTGGGGGCACCTTGCCAAGACGAATGGGCAGCTCTACCACCAGCAAGAATTCGAAGGCCTCATAGACAACTATTACAAAAGATGGCACCCACTTGCCCATCTGTGGGCCTGGGGAGCACCATGGCGGGTGGAGGGGAGAGCGGAAGGCGACTTGGATGACGTCACTTCCAGGTCACCGATGCCTCCCCAGGTAGAATAGCCAAGAAGTGATGTATTGTAACACATCCAGAGGAGACATTGGGGGTACATACGAAGGTAAACCCATACATCAAGGCGCCTACGCGTGACAATGGCGACTGTGATACACATGTTACATATCGCCGCACACGCCAGAGTGAGAGCGATAATTATAGCAGCAGACCTCCTCCATAACACGAAACTGATGACTGAGGTTTGACGTGTTCTGGAATGGAGGTTCTGGAGTGGCCATCACAGTCTCAGACCTTCATATCATCGAGCCGCTCTGCGGAAATCTGAAACATGCGGTTTATGCAAGGTGACCAAGGACTTTGCATGACCTGCAGGCATCTTGCCAAGACAAATGGGCAGCTCTTCCACCGGTAAGAATTCGGGGGCCTCATAGACAACTATTACAAAATTTGGCACCCGCTTGCCTCCGTAACCCTAAACTGATGACCTGTAGGGGGCATTAGAAGCATCACCTATAGAATATATAGGGCACTGAAGTTTGTCGCCATTTCTCAGGTGCACAAATTTAAGGTTTGACGTGTTCTGGAGTGGGGGTTCTGGAGTGGGGGTTCTGGAGTGGCCATCACAGTTTCCAAACCTTCATATCATTGAGCCGCTCTGTGGAAATCTCAAACATGCGGTTTATGCAAGGTGACCAAGGACTTTGCATGACCTGAAGGCATCTTGCCAAGACAAATGAGTAGCTCTACCTCCGGTAAGAATTCAGGGACCTCATAGACCACTATTACAAAAGATGGCACCCGCCGCTTGCCCATCTGTGGGCCTGGGGAGCGCCATGGCGGATGGAGGGGAGAGAGGAGAGCAGAAGGCAACTTGGATGACGTCACTTCCAGGTCACCGCTGTCTCCCTGGCTAGAATAGCCGAGAAGAGATGTATTGTAATACATCCAGAGGAGACATTGGGGGTACATACGACGGTAAACCCATACATCAAGGCGCCTACGCGTGAAAATGGCGATTCCGATACACATGTTACATATCGCCGCACACGCCGGAGTGAGAGCGATGATTCTAGCAGCAGACCTCCATAGCATGAAAATGATGACTGAGGTTTGACGTGTTCTGGAGTGGAGGTTCTGGAGTGGTCATTACAGCCTCCCGACCTTCATATCATCGAACCGCTCGGCGAAAATCTCAAACATGCGGTTTATGCAAGGTGACCAAAGACTTTGCATGACCTGGAGGCATTTTGCCAAGACTAATGGGAAGGTCTTCCACCAGCAAAAATTTGGGGGCCTCATAGAAAATTATTACAAACGATGGCACCCGCTTGCCTCCATAACCCTAAACTGATGAC